CCCAACACACACACACCTGAAGTCATCCAATAAGAGAGCCACTTGTCAAAATGAGACAACCGAGTCTACAACATTTACAACCTACCCAATCCTACAATCAACTACTTTTTTATAAATCTCTCCCAAACATCTGGACACAGCAAAATCTAAAAAATCGCGGGATGAACGCAAGGACAAGGAAATCGTGACTCTCACAGACAGGTATATCTTTAAATGTCACTTTTGGCAAAGTTTGTGAAAACATATGCTGGCAAAATCCCATCGTTTTGCATGTTTAAAAAAAAAAAGATAGACGAAAACGTAGCCAAAGTACATTCGCGCTTCCCGTCCATAAATAGCTCGTGTAGATCAACGCAAAAAGAAGTGTTTCTCTCTCAGCGCACAGTTCACTTACGTCAAGGTTTACAGCATTCATCATCATCCAGTGCCAGATCTGCGACAGACATCGGCGATCATGGTTCTCCATTCATTCCTGTGCTCGGACTACAGCATTAGTATGGTTAAAATATTTGGCCTTTTTCCCCCCCCTGTAAAACCCGAACTCTCCGATTCTGACAAACAGCCCTCTCTGGATGACCACAGATATCCCAGAAGCCACTCTCCAATCTCTGTCAGCATATCACTACCTCTGTGCTTTCTTGTCCTACCTCCATTTTTAACACTTTGCAGTCACACAGCCAGCAGTACAAAATTCCCCATCTGGTCACACAGCCAGCAGTACAAAATTCCCCATCTGGTCACACAGCCAGCAGTACAAAATACCCCATCTGGTCACCCAGCCAGGAGAGTGACTGCAACAGATTTCTCGGGCCTGGCACACAAAAGCATCAAGTGACCCGAACGGATAATTTTCACCGGCGCATTATTACGCCAAGTGACTGCAAAGTGTTAATCACATTGAAAACAGTTCTTAACAAAGAGCGAGTTTAAGAAAAAGTCACATTTTCAATGATAAAAAAAAATGGAGATAGAAAAAAAAAGCACTGAGGTCACGATATCGCAATGTTAGAATTAATCACAAGGTTCTATCTGACAATTTTGGCCCGTTTTGAGTAACTAAGACCATGAAATCAGAAACCAGATATTCTTCTTTCCACTCTATCAAAATCGTATGAATATTCCGAGTTGTTATCAAGATATTCAGAGAAATGCATCGGAAAAGGCTTGACCATGTTGTGAAACTGAACATTTTCATGATTTTGAACGTCCAATTTCTCAAAACTAGGAACTGAGCAGATAAAACTTTGTAACTCTGGGGTAGCGATATGCCGATCAGACAGACAGACAGACAGACATACAAACGGTGGAAGAGAACCGCGACATCCATACTTTCGTTTAGTTTTAGTAGAGGTTTTACGGCGCTCGCAACTGCGTACGGTCATATGAGCACCAGAAGATTTGAGGCGTTACAAGAGAGTAACAAACATAAAAAAGAAGCAGAGGGAGATGAGGACGATAGATGTTTCACAGGAAAGAAGAAGCAAACTACACCAGAGCACCCGCCAATCACCCACGACATCAGTATAACATAAACACAGCGATGACCTCATATCTCAGGGTATAATACGGGTATGTAGTGAGCAGTCAACATAACACAGGCAAACACGCAATAATTAATTAGAACGGACAAAAGCATCATAACATTTTTATTACATTAAAACGCAGTACCCCATCTCTACTGTCGCCGACGGCTTTTGTTTTAGTAAGAGTTTTACGGCACTCGCAACACAGTAAGGTCATACATAATCGCCGAAGATTAGAAGGTGTTACAAGAGACTAACAAGCATAAAAAAGAAAGGAGGAGAGGTAAAAGACGATAGATGCTTGATGGGGAAAGGAGTAAACCACACCAGAGCACCCGCCAACCACCCACCCACACTGTCGCTGAAGAAATACAACTGACAGAGGCGAAGCACTACAGACACTGCCAGAATACTGCTACTATACGAAGATGAAGAAAAAGAATGTGGTACTTTGGCAGAGACGGGGGCACTCGCTAAACTTCTTTACAAACAAAAGTAAAACATATCAAACCAAATGTCATTTCAAAGTCACCCACCTCGCAACAGAGAAAAAAATTGTTGTGTCAATTATCACGTCCCTCAGAACATATCGCGAGGTAGGGGCTCAGGTATCGTAACTCGGGGATTTAGCGAAAATAAAACCTCTTTTCAACATAAGGCACTGGGAATGTGCACATGCTCTGTAAATAACCCTCAGAGTCGTGCGATTATTTTGCGAAGAAAATACACTTGAAATTCAAATTCCATGAATTGTTGATGGCTATAGTGGTGAAAAATTAAGTTTTAGCGCCAGCAAAATTGGAAAAACCTTGAGTTACACTAGCCGCACTTCTCTGCGATATGTGGACATCATTAAACCATTCAGCCCTACGGACCAGAGTCCGTGTTTCAGACAAAGAGTGAGTTGTGCGTACATCTCTATGAAGATACTCC